ACCCCCTCCCTGCCTCAGAAATGATTCCAGGGTTGTTGATCTGGTTTGGTTGTTTTTTTGTTTTTAAAACCCTTCCCTAATGTGAAAGTGCCCTGACGATATCTCAAGTTAGCCCAGTCTCGTCAGATCTCGGAAGCTAAGCAGGGTTGGCCCTTGTCAGTATTTGGATGGGAGTCCAGCAAGGAATGTTTTGCTGCACAGAGCCAGGCAGTGGCAGCCACCTCTGAAAATCCTATGCCATCACCATACGTCATCTGCGATGACAGCAAAAAAAAGGGGGAGGGTCTGCAAATATGGGGGGACACACCAGATTTATAGAGAAATCTTCCACATCACTATGTGGCCCTGTTAGATGGTTTTCTGATGTGCGCCTTGGGGTCAAGTTAGGAATTAGGCATGTTGTTCTGTTTGAACTGTAAATACATACAGCACTGACATTAAAGGTGCAGTTCTGTTCCTAGAGAGTGCTGCCATCTACAAAAGAGGTGCATATAGGGCCTTTTTTGTTTGCAGGTGACTACATCCATTCCTCTTTGACTTTGATGTAGTCATTTGGAGTTGCTGGCAGAAACCTGAATCTCCTGCCCTTTTGACTTGTGCCTGTCTGGTCAACTTTGTCGTTTCTGTCCTCAAAAGACAGTGACATGGACACTCTGCCACAGAGAAATGAACAACGCATAGTTAGTTCTTCCTTGCTGGATACAAAAGTCAGAGGGAAGTGAGGGCTGGAACATGCAAAACGCCTGTTGATGGGTAGCAAAGCTTCCATGGACAAAGTTTTTGCCCTTTGAGATTATGCTGTTTAGGCAGCAGAAGGAACAGCAGTTCATAGCTCTGGCTTCCTCTGGTATTGGGCGTATATTCCTGTATGAGTAAAAAAAAAATTACTTTGAAAGTTCATTAATCGAATTTTATATGCTAAATTATCAGTGGTGATTACGTTCTGAAAGCATCTGTAAGCATCAGTGCAATCTTTCAGAAAGTTACTCCGGTTTGAGTAACCTGTCTGAATCTGTTCAAAACCAGTGGCTTTAAACCGGAGTGACTCTGGAAAATTGACATTTCTAGCTGGGACACCTGAACTGCTGTGGAAAGAGAAATGTAAACACTAACCATTCTCGTATCTCCCTCCTCTCCCAAATGTCACATCCTCTGACATCTCTGCAGAATTCTCCAGAGATGATGGGAGCCAGTCCGTCGCAGAACGGTGACGAGGATGAGAATGAAAATGAGAAGGAGCTCCAGATGGACTCTCTCCTCTGTGCCTATGAGAGCTTGGGCAAAGCGTGGCCTAGAAACGCAGAAACACAACGTACGTTTATCCCAGGGAAACCAGTGGGTTTTGGAACAAGGATCCACCTCCCCTCCTTTAAAAATAAAATAAAAAAATAGAGACCTATTGGGGAAAGGAAGGA